CTCTCAGTTTTTGTTTTATGTTTATTTTTTTTATTTTTTACGCTGAAATGGAGATGATTGGGTTTTGATCATGTTTTTGCAGTCATAGTATTCAAATTCAGTTGGATGGATCAGAGGAAGATAACAGCAGGCCTTTTGTTAAATTCAAAAGAGTCATTGGTAATCAGGCTTGGGCGGTCTGAACCCTTTGGGCGGATCGGCCAAATGGGGTTGACTTACATGTTAATTGAAAGGTGGAATCCTCTTCTTCTAAGTTATGGCTAAGCAGGACAGACCAGGCTCTATAGTTGGATGGCAACTGGTACCGCAGAAAGAAATGGCAACCTACTGCAGGAAAAAAATCTGCCTTGTCAGTCATGTATCAAAAGTTCATCATGTATCACGCATGGCACATAACTGAACTGATCATGTCAAGGATCACAGAAATGTGTTGTTTATTAACTCATTTGTGAGATTTCTCTTATGACATTTAAAAACTCAAACCTGATGCTTTTAATTAACCGAATACACTTAAATCTTAAATTTTTTTTCTCAATTTTGTAGTTTAAAAAACTATGTTCTCAAAGTTACACCCATCCTGGGTGTGATGATAAACTACATCTGGCTTCAAGGCCTGTGATTGGGAGGTTTCTTAATTTTTGTTGTTCTCAGATCCACACTGGCCTAGGGTAGTAGCACCTGTTAGGGTCCCAGCTATGGGCAAATAGTTAACTCCCAAACTGGGGTCATAGCACTATGAAATATATAAAAAAAATTTATAGTAAAAATATCAGCAATACATTTTCATAGTAAAAAACAAATTGCCAACAATACATTTCTGTAAGGGAAATTACTAATGCTCCCAAGAAAATTAAATTTCTTGCATTAAATGACCCATAAGGATGTTGATATGCTGCTAAAAAAAAAAACAAATAAAATGAAGTTACATCAAGCTCTATATATGGGGTCTGCACTTGATTAATCTGAATCTATCTTTAGGAATGGTGATAATACTGAAAATGTTGAAAAATGAACATGTGAGTTAGTGAAATATATTGATGTGATCATCATCATTCAACTAGAATTATCGAGCCAATGCAAATGATCCTTTCTTTAGATGTATAGTATGTGCTACACCAGGGCTACATACAATTTTGAATTCAGAGTTTCTTTCTCCAAGACTGTTTATCACACAAGGCTATAGAACCCAGTTTGTCCTGCTATTTACCCATAGTTGGTGAGGAGAAGAAGATTCACACCTTTCCCAAGAGTATTAACACGTAAGTGAATGTAATGGATCAGACTGGAATTCAGACTCGGCTCTCTTATTCCTCAATCCAAGCTTCTATCCATTATTCCACTGTGCATCCTGTGCTTGATGGGATAGAGCTAAATGGATTTCAGTTTTTAAATCAGCACCCCCAAAATGACCATGTCCCCAACACCAGACAACAAAAACATGTTCCCAAGTGTAATCAGCAAAGGGAGTCTTCTCAAGTTAGTTCCCATTCTATTCCAGCAACAGGTGCAGATTCACTTACTTGTAAAATCCAAATAAGTATCTCCATTACACATTACAGGATGCCCAATATCTACAACTTACGGAATATGTATATTTGGACACCTGGCATATCAAGTTACCAAGTTCGCTTCATTGTCCATTCTCTAGGATAGAAAGGTCTGTTTTCATGGTGACCTTGTATCAGACTAAATTAAGCTTAGTAAATATTCAGATTTCTTGCTTTGATTCTTGATTTATAAGCATCAAGCCTTGTCAGTAGCTAGTTGACTTCTTGGGAGTATGAGGTTCCATAAGCTTGGATATGCAGATGATGTAATGGTTAATGTCTCAGAGAATTGAAAATTGGAGAACCAAGTTTCAAATCCAGTCAGGTTCGTTATATTCACTTATGTGCAAATACCCTTGGGAAAAGTATGAATTCACCTCTTCTCTCCTCTCCAGCTATGGGTTAATTAGTAAAACTTGTCTCAGTAAATCATTGTCATCTCCAAAAAGATTCTTACAATCTAAAAATATTTTTTGACTTTAAATAACCTGCAAAAATCTACCATTCATCCATGTTTAGAATATTGCTGCCACATATGGTCTAGTGCCTCTGCCATTTACCTTGATCTCCTTGATAAAATCCAAAGAAGAATCGGTAATGTTATTGGTCCTGATCTGGCAGCTCAACTTCAGTCACTTTTCCACTGCCGTAAGGTTGCTTCCCAGTGAGTTTTCTATAAATACTTTCATTGTAATTGTACAGATGAGCTCTTCGCTATGGTACCTTGGCCTTTTTTTTTTATTAAACACAGTACTAGACTGGCATCGATATCTCAATTTACAGTTGATCTGGTTATATGTAACTGTAAATTCTATGCTAACAGTTTCTTTTCTCGCACTTCTTGCTTGTGGAACTTTCTTCCAGTTCCATGCTTTCCAGCCAACTTTAATTTGCAAAAATTTAAATGCAATGTCAGTCACTATCTACTGTCCTCCTGATTAGCCTTTCCTCTTCCCACTCATTATTAATGTTTCTCTTCCTAATTCTTTCATACCCTGTAACCCCTTGTGTCTTGGTGGCTTCGCTGCCTTGCGTGGGATTAAAACTGATTTAAAAAAATGCTAATCCATAAAAAAAAAGAACTGATCAATCAATTTTGGCTGGAGTGAGTTTGCTCCTTATACTTGTCCTTGTGCCAAGTAAATCAAGGTTATGCAGATGTTCAGATGTAGTGGAACTGGGAGCCTATGTTACATGTGCATTGTATAAACTTTCTTTTCTTCTGTTTCGTTTTGATACGATATTGTTTGTTCACCGACTTTCAATTTTTTTGTTTAAATAAGCCAATCTCTTTTTAGGTATTTATAATTATTTTTTGTTCACACTTGGTAAAAATGATTAATTCCTCTATCAGCATTCAACTTCATATGCTTTTTTTTTTTTTTAAATATTATGTTTCTTCCTTATTTAGGAAATCATAACACTCTCTATAAATGCTTTTTTTATTTGTGCATCCATCTTTTTCTAAATAAGCCAATTGGTATTTTTCTTTTCCTTTCTATTTATCCACTCCTGTAAAAAAAAAAAAAAGAAGTGTTATTCAATTTAAAAAAAAGTATATCTGCTTACTAGAAGATTAACACCTAATAATAAAATAAATGAATCCGCTAATATTTTGTAAGTGATCATTACTTTCGACAGATTCCTTTCTTTAATAGCTGTGAATTTTTCAATCAATCCATTTTAATTTATTATTGATTTTTAGATATTTTTTTATTGTTGTTCACCCACTATGAGGCACAAGAGCCACTCAAGGTAAAGGTTAATGAATGAGTTTGTTGAAAGTAGATAACTGTTGACCCAAGATTTGATGTTGTGAAGATTGTAGTGACTGCAAAAGCATCCTCCCAAGAGGATGTTCCACAAACTAACAGTTCTTTGAAATGAAACTTCTTCCTTACAAATAGAATATGAAGGGAATGAGGATGATTCGATTCTTGGTATGGTGGGTCTTAGCTGTGAAGGCCTGAACTGGTTGAGCTAAGGAATGTAGCTTGACAGAATATTTACCACAAAAATAGTGATAGAAGAGCGAGAGGCTTGCAACGTTTCATTTGTGGGGATAGCATCAGTCTTCACCTTCAGAGCTAAGACCCTCCATGTCAGACACATTGTAGTGAACTACACTCATTCAATTTGTATTCCTTTAGTGAGATGTAAGTTGCACTTGAGCAGCAACTTTCCACAAACCACTGTCTTACAGAGCCAACTCCCAAGAGGATGCTTACCTGATCACTACAATCTTAGTTAACTGTTATCTTCCCCACATATCCACTTAAGCTGTGCCTTTTACTCTGCAATGTGCTACATCAAGTAGCCCTCAGGCCTTGTACAGGATGAGCAGCATTATAAAAAAAAAGCAGGGGTTTAGAGTTGAAAATTATTCATTATTAAGACGTTTTTGTTTAACGTCTTTAGTAAAAAAAATTAAGTGATACATTTAAACACATTCAATTCCATGTACTATTGTAAAAAGATTTCCATGGTTCTTCTTTATATAAATGATTGTGACTCTTCACAGGTTCCTTTTTTTTTATTACTTGTGCATTTGATTTGATAAATAAACCAATCCATTTTGTATTTTATCACTGCTTTCCTTTTTATCCCCCCTTATAAGAAATGTTAAATCAGGTGTGTTTTTTTTTAAATGTAATGGCAAATAGATAAACATGCCCACAATAAGACATAGTGTCAAAAGGACAATTTTTCCCATGATGCTGCTTTTGTAACTACCTTCACTTTTCAGCAATGTTTATTAAAAAGCAATGATTAGAATTGGAATAAAACCTAAACATATGATAAAAGTGAATTTATACCTTTTCTTTATTCTTGAGAATTTACAACAAAAATATTAAACACTATTAAATTGTTTATTTACACTATTATGTTATTTATTGGAATGGTTATCAAAACATTGGCTAAATGCCAACTGATTCAAACTTTATAAAATGGTAAATAAATATTTCCTTGGTTCACATATTTTAATGATTTAGTAACATTTTATTCCAATTCTAATCATTGCTTTTTAAAGCAATAAACGTTGCTGGAGAGTAATAGTTAAAAATGCCATGGGAAAATTTTGAAAGAATTGGTGTAATAAAACAATTAACCATTCAAAATCGGCTAAACCAGCTGTGAATGTAAAGAAATAAAAATATGTGTTTATGTGAATTTCTCAACAGGATAGGTTTATTTGAAGCCGGATCTGCAGGCTTTATTTTTCTACCTTTTGTATTTAAATTCTGATGGGAGATACAATTTTCTTTTGTGTGACTTTTTGATCTAGGCTGGTTGACATTAAATTCAATGTTCAGTGGAAGAAAATAAAAACAGGGGATGTCAAATGAAACATACATACATGTTAAAAATAATGTTTATAATAAGAAGAAATAAAATTCAATTTAAACTTGTAAAATCTCTTTTCTCACAGTCTTTCTTCTTCCTTTTATCCAGTCGTGCCATGATGGTGCTCGATGTTACATTATTGACTGTCACCTGACGAACCTGATGGCAGAAAAGAGTGCTGTCATAATCATTCGGGCACGGCTATGGGAAAGCACACTTTTAGAGGTGAGTCATTCTCTTTTGTAGTTCCTTAAAGAACCAGTCATATATATATATTGTAAAGGTAATATATATATATATATATATATATATATATATATATATGAATTATTCACACAAAAACTAATGCAAAGGTTAATGATTTAAATGGCGAGACATCCATCATCGCAAACAATTCAAATAATATACAAAAACCTCCGTATCCGTTATGAATGAAATGAACCTTGTTTATATAAATTTCTGCCGTATTAGTTCTTATTTTACTACAAGCTTTCGTCTGTTCCTACAGACATCTTCAGGTATAGAATAGATGTTGTTCTTTTTTTCTCTTAGTAATAAGGGACAACGAAAATATATGTATTGTTGTATCCGAAAATGCTATTGAAAATGAGTTATTGTTTTTTGGAGCGAGCTTAAAAGCAACGCTGAGTTTGATTTTAAATTTTTAAAGGTTGTGTGTTCATATAAAATATGGTGATGAACAAATTTTTACTGGTAAATTTTTCTGTCAAAGTGGCATGAACTATATTGTTCAATAAATTACAGTAATGTCGCACTTATTATCCAAAAGTCGCACTTGGATCAGTTATTTAAATTATGATAAACGTGCAATCAATTTACAAATACATGAATTATTCACACAAAACTAATGCAAAGGTTAATGATTTAAATGGGCTTAGACATCCATCATGGATGTTTTTGTATATTATATATGGAGGTTTTGTATATTATTATGGAGGTTTTTGTATATTATTTGAATTGTTTTTATGATGGATGTCTAGCCATTTAAATCATTAACCTTTGCATTAGTTTTTGTGTGAATAATTAATGTATTTATATATATATATATATATATATATATAAAGAACAGTAAGATATATAATCCGTGTTCTTATAGATATTTTTATTTTTACAAAATAGTGCTCAATGTAAATTTACAGAGTATTAATATTATAAATTGATTTATTTAAAATATGTTTTTTTAGCTACACAGTTCTAACCATGTTTCAAAAATGGAAGCTAAAAGCTACAAATTTAATTTTGTAATTAAATTAAAGACATTAGTTCCATTTCATCCTCAAGCGAATTTTGGAGTATTTGCTTGAGGAAGCAGGCCCAACCTTTACTATATTGAATGATTCAGTCATCTTGGCAATTTGTTGCTTATTCATACAACTGGTTTAGATTACAAAATATAGATAAAATATAAATAATCATTGATAGTTAATGTTATGAAAGGATTTTTTTGTTCAATTTAAATTTGTTTGCAATCGTAAAGCACTGAAGATGGCACAATTATTAATCTGGAACAATTGCTGTGTGACGGTAAGCTTAGGCATGCCAGTTGTTTCATAGAATGGTGTTTTTGGAGAATTTTTTCCTTCATTTCTAAATTGTATGGTAGGCATGTGGTAGCATTTTCTTTTCTTTCATAGTCATAAAACAAGGTTACAATTTGTTTAGAATCTTTTACTTGTAAATTGTGTGAGGCCTTAAAGGAAATGAATTTGTTAAACTTATTGGTTTGATCTTTGTCTTGCTCTCTCTCCCCTCCAATTTTGACATCAACTAATGCCTATCTTCCCCATTTCCACTTTTATATATATAGGATTAATATGAGTAAAAGTTTGTCACTTATCTGATCAATGTTATCTTCAGGATCCTGACTCAATTGTTTCATTGGCTGTCAGCATTTTTGGCTTCATACTATTTTTGACATTGCTATACATACATATATATATATATATACTAGCAGCATGGCCTGGTGCTGCCCGTGTTTGATTCAAATATCGTATGACTCATACAGCAATCGCTATCGCTTGACTTAAAATATTTTTGCCCTTCTTTGCCTTTAAAGGAGTGCCCTTTGCCGTGCTGATGTTGCTACATGCCTTACTTCTTGCCTATCTCACACTGAGAATTTTTTTCTAAGCTCATTACAAAAATTTAAATTGTTACAAAAAAAGAACTAAACAAAATGAACACAAAACAATCAGCTTTAAAAAAAAAGGACTCATAACTGGAAAACCGAATGAGAAAAAAGAATGTTAACGACAAATACTTTTCACACCCAACCCAGTTCATGGAATTAGAATCAACGTTGAGTTTAAGCAAGCGAATGAGCCAATTAAAGTGCCATGCAGATTTAAATTTTTTCCACTTGTGACAAATGCAGCTATTGACTTTTTTGCATGCCTCATGCTAGTTAACATTCGTGTCAGTCAGCTGTTGGCTCTCACGCTGGCCAATAGAATCTTCCTGCCTGTTTGTGGCAACCAGCTGGAGGCTCTCACTCTGGCCAGTAGAAAATTGCCGCAAACTACATGAAAACTGCCGTAGAAGCATGAAAAAATTGATTATTTCCACTGTCGATGGGAGTTGGGAAATGCAAAGTCAGTCTTGGCCTTCCCGCTAACTTGGAGCATGTGCATGTAAATTTTGGTGCAAATCTGTCGAAAATTGCGGCTGTGCATTTGTTACACACACACACACACATCCTGCCTTTTATATATATATATATATATATATATATATATATATATATATATATATATAAAATCTTTTTTTTTTTTTGTACCCACTAATCATGGTGAACTTTGAACTGTTTTCAAAAGTCTCATAACGATAGTTCTGGGTTGGCAATTAAAGAGGCTAAGTCTTGGGTGAAGGTGATTTGGGTTAGTTCACCTTGAAAATGTGGAAATTGAACATTGGTCCATAGGCTGGATGAGTGGTGTCATGTTTGGTTTGGTACATGGTCACAAGTCGAACAGTCATAAGTTGTAAGTTGACAGTGACTTGTAAATGTTTATATATATATATATATATATATATATATATATATATATATATATATATTTGCAGACACATTAGATTTTGCTTTCACAGAACAGAATCTACTTCAATAGTTACAAACTAATCAAAATTTTAAAAAGCATCAATTTAACTCTAAATACCTCATTACTATGATTGGGTGTGGTTATAGGGTCATCATGCAACTGAACACCTGACCAGCTTCATCTATATCTCTCCAAGTATCAAAAAGATATTCACTCGCATTAATTCCTGACCACTGACAATGTTTCTGTATGGCAAAATTTTAATGTCCATCTAAACACATGCAACCTTCTCACAATATGGTATTTACTTGCTGCCACATGTTAACAAGACATGACACAAGGTCAGTTTAATATGGGGAGCCTGTGTATGTGCACCCAGACATGTTCAAAAAAATAGCCCAGACCCTGCAACTGTTAATTTTGCTGGCATTGGTATTACTACTGATCACCCCTCTCTCATGCAGTGAAGGAAGCGCTACAACAGGCAGTTTTTTTTCCTGAAACCAAGGCACCACTCAATATTTTTTCAGTTGCACTCTGTCTGCAGGCAGACACACAATTGAGTTGCAGTGAATCTTCCGGCAGAGACACTATCGAGTTGCAGTGTGTCTTCCGGCAGAGACACTACCGAGTTGCAGTCCATCTGCAGGCAGACACACAACCAAAGCATTTGAGAATTCAGGACCTCTCACTTTGACGGTACATGTACTAAAACTGAAACAATACAGAGAAGACTTGTAAATTCATGAAGTGTTCCTTTATTTTTTTTTCTTTGGGCAATTTGACATGATGTAATGGTTAACTTGTCTTACAAGATCAATTACAACTGAATAGTGTGTTTAACCTTCCCTGGGCACCTCAAAATTTTAATCTTGTGCCACATGTAAACTAAAAATCAGTATTTAATTCCCAAAACTGTTCCTACTGCCAGAAACATATATCTTGTTAGTGAAAAAAAATATAATTAAAGTGGAGTAATCAAAAACTAGTGGGCAACAATATAATGCAATCCCTGTATAAATCTATGTGTCATGTCCCTTCCAGACGTGAGCAACCATGGCTCTCCACAACGTTCTATCCCTTGTGGACCTTAGCAGCATTTCTGCCTTTGCCAAGCCTCTCTCCTGCTCTTCCACCATCCATTCACACAAGCTTGTCAGTTTGATAGCTTGCACCTTGCCCTCAATATGCCTTGTAAGAGTCAAGGTTTCCAAACCCTCCTTCCTCATTATATGGCCAAGAAATTTCTGCACTCTCTTTCTGATTCAGATTATAAATGTTTTTGATACCATTTTCTTAAAGACATTTTTATCACTCACTTACTCTGTCCATGGAATTCTCAACATCCTTCTGTAGAGACATATTTCTGTTGCCTCCAATTTTCTTCTCATTTATGTGAAGATTGTCCAAAATTCATATAAGAGGATGGATATCACATAGCAATTCAGCACTCTTTTCTTTGTTTCAAACAAAATGTTTGTGTTTCTTAGTACTTTGACCTGTATACACACACACACACACACACACACACACACATGTATGTGTATATATGTATACTGGTCAAAGTACTAAAAAACACAAAATTAAAATCTGTCTATATTTCTAGGATGAGGTATTGCAATTATTTACACTATTTACATTATTTGAACTGTTGTCCTCATCTTTGTTGCCATATTCATGACATTTTGGGCATTGTACTCTCCTGCTTTCCTCAAGGACACATGGCCCAGTGGATAAATGTGTTTGATGGATCCAGTGACTTAACCCAGATAGTTGTGCGTTCAATACCTGGCTACTGCAGTGGTGAATAGTTGGATAGCTGAATGAAAGGGAGATAAATGAGACATCCAGAAGAGGCATGGCACGTGGAACTAGAACCCCCCCCCCCCAAGTGGATGAAATAAAGGGTTCAGTTCAAAATTCCAATCACCTGAAGAAGGCCAGAGCATATAATGGCCAAAAAGTTGTGAATATGGCAACAAAGATGAGGACAACAATCTGAACAATGTAAATAGCATAAATAACAAAATTAAAACTGAAAAATCCTTCTTGCTAACCCAGCATGAAACTGTTTTCGTATTGTTTAAAAAATTGTTTTCTGTTTTTATTCTAGGATTTCCGCTCTGTGGATGAAGTAAATATCATATCCAGTGCCTCTTATGAAATTATTCAGGATGAAGACATTATCAAGCAGACAGACGATAGCAATGACAAATATGATGTAAGTAGTACAAGCAAGTTATTAAATCTATATATTATAAGAAGCACATGTGGACCATCTTTCATTTTAATCATATATATATATATATATATATATATATATATATATATACACATGCACACACATATTGTGACCACTTTATATTTTTTGCATGTGCATTGCTTGTTTTTTTTTTATTTTGTTGACTACATATTATAATAGCATTAGCTGGACACCATCTGTGAGAAAAAGATCATTATGACGCAATTCACTCTACTAGAAATTTGGAAACGGCATGCTGTACTGTTTGGTATTCATGCCAGAAGCTCTAATACAAACATTTCAGAGTGTTTGGATGCCATTCCGAGGGCAGTGCAGAGAATTCAGAAAGAGTTGGATGAGTCTAATGGTCATTACGAAGGTACAGCTGTTCAAAAAACTCACTCTGATCATTCTGATAAGAAAATAACTCCCGAATTTATTGGTGAAGGCCACATTCTCAATACGGATGCCAATATCAAGTGCCTTGAGGAGGTAGTGCTGCCCTGAATCAAGATAGGGGCTGCTGGAAGACACTGGTAACAGGACTCTGCACCATGCCACACAAGCAGGAGAACAGAGTCATGGCTGTCAAACAACTTCTACAACTGCATCACTCCTTACAACTAGCCACCTAACTCTCCAGACAGCAACACCCTGGATTATTATGTGTGAAGTGCAGTTAAGTGAGAGACCAACAAAACTCTTTGTAATGCCAAAGATGAACAAGGCAATGATTATGGCAGTATTCATCAACTTAAACAAGACCATCCAGAAGAGTTGAAGGAGATTTTGAAGTCATCTGGAGGCTGATGTTGAAGCCAATTGTGATTTTATTGAATTAATCTACTATTTCAAGATATTTTGTGTAATTTTGGTAAATATATCTGTTAAAATGAGATGCCACTGTTATTTTAATTTTTGTGCAATTTAGATGATAATTTATCTATCGCACCCTCTGTGTGTCTGTATGTGTGTGTATATATATATATATATATATATATATATATATATATATATATATATATACACACTCACACGTATGTATGGAGTGGGAACAAATATGGATTAAAATCTAATATAATCATTAATTAGTTCTACTTAAAAGATATTGTTAAAATTATGAGTGCATCTACTAATCATAAATGAAAAAGCCTAATACAACTGAACAACCCCCAATATTTTAAAAAGAATTTTTAATGTATTTTATGAATGTGTATAAATGTGCTGATTTTTGTAACTACAGATGTCCAAACATGACATTATCAGAAAATAAGAGTGGTAGTTAAAAAGTTATGTTAAAAAAGGTATTCACATTGTATTTGCCAAGTAATTTTTACGGTTAGGTGCCCATGCCAAACATTAAGCTATCAACAAATCTGTCAATACCTCATAATTTCTATTAACTCTCTATTTATATATGCACACCTGAAATACTTTATCCTCCTTGTTGTGGAGTAGCTCCTGTTTATTACATTAGTCTGTGTATTATATTATTCTCTGGAATAAACTTACTTTCTATATGTATGTCAACCTTTCCTATTTGCAACACAACATTTGGCAATGAAGGATTCAAATTTTAAAATTTCCAGTGAGATACCAACACTAACCAAGGATTCAGGTTCAAAGAAATTTACAGTCATATACCAAGAAATCATTGATGGCTCAACCTCGGATTAATTCCAAGTTTGTATAACAGATTGACATGTTAAAAACGAATAAGAATTTCATTTGTTCAGTAAATTTTTACAAAAAAAAAAAAAAAGAGTAGGAAATTGTTTGATCAGTTAGATTTTGTCTCTGCAAAGAAACCTGGAGGATTTAAAAGAAGCAGTGGTGAAACTCATGAAAACTCATGAAAATCCAACAGAAACAAAATGAATGGTTGGAGGAACAATGACATTTAGACCAGGAACTCTCTGAAAAACAGTTTGAAAAAATGTTTGCATTGTTATGGTTAAAAAAGGAAAAAGAGCAAGACAAGGCAAATTCTCAGGATGCAGTGATAAATTCAATTGGTGAATTTAAGTACAGTCCTGAGGAGGAGGTAACTTTTGTGGTGTATTTTCACCATCATGAAGAGATTTTTCAAAAAGATTACACTACATGGTCGGACAAAAAGAAAATACGTCTTGCTCAGAAAATTTGGTCCAAGAGAACATGAAAAGCATGCAAAATACATACTTCCAAGAAATCCTAGGAAAATATCTTTCAAGGAGTCTGTCTTAATTCTGAAATAAATTAGTGGATAGAAAAGTCCCCTATTCAACACAAGATTGCAGTGTTTAAACCTTACAAAAAAGTGGGGAGGATTATTTGACTTTTGCTGAGATTATCAGTAGAGAGTGAAAAGTTTAAAAGAACTTACTCCTAGTATGTTTAAGTATTTGATTTTTGTACAAGGACTGATGGCTCTAGAAGATGGCAATATTGGAACCAGAATTTTGTCTAAATTAGAACAAAATCCAAAAATCAGTCTGCAAATGGTTGTAGAAGAATGTGAACAAATAGAAAATCTTTGACATGAAATGGCAAGTATAGACAAACACAACATGTTAAAAATCCAAGCAGTTAAACAAAGACAATAGAAAGAAAATTTTGCCCATTAAATAAATCCTTGTTAGGGCTGTGAACAAGTTCATTATTACAAGGAATGTCCATTTAGAAGGAAAGAATGCTTTAATTGTGACAAAAAGGATGAGCATATACATTGTAGAAAACCCAGAAGTAAAAAGGGGTCAAAAATGAAAGAAAAAAAAAAAATTAACTCAACTATGATAGAAAGCAAAGACCTAAAAATGAAAAGAAAGTTTGTAAATGTACAGATGAACAATAAAAATATTAAGTTCCAATTTGAATACTGGTTCAGATCTGACAATGATAAATGAACAAACTTGGAAAAAAATTGGCAGATCAACTTTATTGATGACAAAAAATTGCTCATGGCATTACAGGTAATAAACTAAATTTTGAAGGAGAATTTTACACAAATGTCACATTTATTGGCAAAACTATAAAATTAAAAGAATTCGTTATGAAACAAACTGAGAACCTGTTCAGTATGGATTGATTGAGTCATTCAACCTTTTCGACCAACCAATTAATTTGTTCTGCTATAGTATCAGTGTTAATTCAAACAGCATGGAAAAATTTTTAAAAATAATTAAAGATAAAATTTCCGGAAATTTTTTTCTGATGGTCTTGGTGAAAGGCAGAAAATCAAACCCATTGTGGTCAAGTAAACATGCCTCCTCCAACAAATGTGTCAGCACTACAAGCATTCTTGGGTCTAGCAAATTACTAAGGTAATTTTATCCCAAATATGCACATGTTAAAAGCTCCTCTAAGCAAATTATTAAAAAAAGATTCTAAATGGAACTTGAGTACTGACTGTCAGAGTGCTTTTGAGGAAATTAAAAAAATATTAACGTCAGACATAAGTCCGGTGCATTACAATTGAAATAAGGATATTATTATTGCAATTGACGCTAGTAATTTGGGCTTAGGAGCCGTATTATTGCACAAAGAAAGCAACAGACAATTGCACATGTATCAAGGACCCTATTGCCAGCTGAAAAAGGTTACAGCCAAATTGAAAAAGAAGCTTTAGGGATAATTTTTGTAGTAAAAGTTTTACGTTTCAAATGGACCATAGACCGTTATTTTCTGTTTTTGGTTCCACAAAAGGGATTCATACACATACTGCAAATTGACTTCAGAGATGGGAACAATAATATTAAATTATAATTTTAAGATGGCATTCTTTTAAACAAAGAGGTTAGGGCATGCAGATGGATTATCCAGGTTAATCTCCAAACTATGTGTAACATTGAAGGAAACTGATAGCAGCCCTAAGAATAGAAATGGAAATAAAAAGCATGCTGTCCAGCACCATATAGACAAATATATCACAGAGAAAAAGAAAGAAATTATGAACCAACAGTACAAAAAGAATGATAGTGAAAAGATTTTTTTCTATCTGTGATGGAATTTTGATGTACAGTGAATGGGTGGTGATACCAGGAATGATGCAAAAATATTAAAACTTCTATGGTATATCGACAATGAAAGCTTTTAATGAGAAGCTATGTTTAAATAATAATAAAGAAAAATGTAAAATCATGCGGAGGTTATGCGATGGTGGCAAAGGCGCCACTGGTGAAATTTAACACTTGACCAAAGACGAACAGACCTTGGGCAAGGCTGCATATTGATTTTGCATGTCTAATGAAAGGACAATATTATTTAATTGTGGTTGATAGTTTCTCAAAATGGTCAAAGGGGATGAAATGCAGTGGTACAATTAAATTTTTGCATGAACTCTTTGCCGGATTCAGTATCCCAGATATGATAGTGTCGGACAATGGCACTCAATTCACTGCAAAAGATTTCAAAGACTTTTGTAAAGTTTTTTCTTTTTCGATTGTACACATCACTACTGCACAATATTACCTGTAATCTAATGGGCAGGCAGAAAGAATTGTAGACACTTTCAAGCGAGCATTAAAAAAGTCAGACTGAAACATATACGTTGACAATATCCAACAATTTTTAAGTGTATATCATGTGACGCCAAACCCAAGTACTAATTCGGGGTTGTCACCTGTAGAGTTAATGCCACGAGAAAAATAAGATCTGTGTTCGATAAACTGTTGCCAAAGGGAAATAAAAATCCAACAAAGAAAAAAAAACAGATTCAAAATCCTATATACCAAAAGAGAATTTGTTTCAAAAAATATAGAAACAGGAAAAAAATTTGGAATGCTGATAAATCATTGCTAAATGCATCAGGTCATTAATGTACATAATT